CCCCCACCACACACACACACACACACAACCCTCCACCATCTCCACCAATTCAAGTCACACAAAATTGATGGTAAGTAGTTTCTCTACCCCATTACAACCCATGAGTTTGAAATGAGGCTTACGATTTTTATGGGACTTTTATATTTATGACAGCTAATAAGGAGTTCATCGACATGTCTCTACACACCCTGCTGGGACAGATGGCGGAGGACGTGTACGTGCTGCCGACTTCCGTGTGTATTCTGATGCATATGATGCAAGAACAGTGTACGATGAAGGGCATCAAGGCGCCGCACAAGTGTGTCAGCCTCAAGGTGGGTCAGCTTCTAGGGGTGTACGTCACACCATGTTACATCTGTCTAAAATATACTGTATCACAAGTGTGTCAGCCTCAGGGTGGGTCAGCTTCAAGGGGCGTACGTCACACCGTGTTACATCTGTCTAAAATATACTATATCACAAGTGTGTCAGCCTCAAGGTGGGTAAGCTTCTAGGGGCGTACGTCACACCGTGTTACATCTGTCTAAAGTATACTGTATCACAAGTGTGTCAGCCTCAAGGTGGGTCAGCTTCTAGGGGCGTATGTCACACCTTGTTACAACTGTCTAAAGTATACTGTATCACAAGTGTGTCAGCCTCAAGGTGTGTCAGCTTCTAGGGGTGTACCTCACACCTTGTTAGATCTGTCTAAAATATACTGTATCACAAGTGTGACAGCCTCAAGGTGAGTCAGCTTCTAGGGGTGTATGTCACACCGTGTTACAGCTGTCTAAAATATACTGTATCACAAGTGTGTCGGCCTCAAGGTGGGTCAGCTTCAAGGGGTGTTCCTCACACCGTGTTACATCTGTCTAAAATATACTGTATCACAAGTGTGTCGGCCTCAAGGTGGGTCAGCTTCAAGGGGTGTACCTCACACCGTGTTACATCTGTCTAAAATATACTGTATCACAAGTGATTTTTGTGGATAGTCTTTTTTCCACAGGTTTACCTTTACAAACTGTTTCATTAATGCAAAGTTTCATGAACACTTAAACTTGAGTCATGCAAATCACTCTGACTCATATTTGCTGTAATTTTCCTGCAAAAAGCCAAGGGAGTCAGTTATAATTACTGACTCTACATAAAGACAAAGATATATTATTTGTTGGCTTTTTCTACAGAACTGGAATTTATATATAGAGGTGGGCTTATTGATAGGCATGAGATTATTGTGTGATAAACACAGGCATATTTAATTTGTATTTGCACTGAAAATACGAAACCTGATGATTTCTTAGATTTTGACCTTAAATTACGTTGTTTTTTTATAATTCTCTTATTTTCATTGTATTGTTTACTTATCAGTATGTCATTGTTATCTTTTTTGTGTAGATTATAGCCAGCTGTCTGAAGTGTAAACTATCCGACTTCAACTTCATACAGTCCATCACAGGAGTCGCTCTGAGTCAGAGTGACAAGGACCAGCTACTGCTGCTGGCTGACTGTATCTACAGCACACTGGTCTACACAAAGTGTGAGTATCTACAGCACACTGGTCTACACTAAGTGTGAGTATCTACAGCACACTGGTCTACACTAAGTGTGAGTATTTACAGCACACTGGTCTACACAAAGTGTGAGTATCTACAGCACACTGATCTACACAAAGTGTGAGTATCTACAACAAACTGGTCTAGTGTGAGTATCTACAGCACACTGGTCTACACTAAGTGTGAGTATCTACAGCAAACTGGTCTACACAAAGTGTGAGTATCTACAACAAACTGGTCTACACTAAGTTTGAGTATCTACAGCACCCTGGTCTACACAAAGTGTGAGTATCTACAGCACACTGGACTACACAAAGTGAGTATCTACAGCACACTGGTCTACACAAGGTGTGAGTATCTACAGCACACTGGTCTACACGAAGTGTGAGTATCTACAGCACACTGGTCTACTCAAAGTGAGTATCTACAGCACACTGGTCTACACAAGGTGTGAGTATCTACAGCACACTGGTCTACACTAAGTGTGAGTTTCTACAGCACACTGGTCTATACAAAGTGTGAGTATCTGCTACAAACTGGTCTACACAAAGTGTGAATATCTACACAAAGTGTGAGTATCTACAGCACACTGATCTACACAAAGTGTGATTATCCACAGCACCCTGGTCTACACAAAGTGAGTATCTACAGCACACTGGTCTACACAAGGTGTGAGTATCTACAGCACACTGGTCTACACAAGGTGTGAGTATCTACAGCACACTGGTCTACACAAGGTGTGAGTATCTACAGCACACTGGTCTACACGAAGTGTGAGTATCTACAGCACACTGGTCTACTCAAAGTGAGTATCTACAGCACACTGGTCTACACAAGGTGTGAGTATCTACAGCACACTGGTCTACACGAAGTGTGAGTATCTACAGCACACTGGTCTACATTAAGTGTGAGTATCTACAGCACACTGGTCTATACAAAGTCAGTATCTACAGCACACTGATCATGGTCTACACAAAGTGTGAGTATCTACAGCACACTGATCTACACAAAGTGTGAGTATCTACAGCACCCTGGTCTACACAAAGTGAGTATCTACAGCACACTGGTCTACACAAGGTGTGAGTATCTACAGCACACTGGTCTACACAAGGTGTGAGTATCTACAGCACACTGGTCTACACGAAGTGTGAGTATCTACAGCACACTGGTCTACTCAAAGTGAGTATCTACAGCACACTGGTCTACACAAGGTGTGAGTATCTACAGCACACTGGTCTACACAAGGTGTGAGTATCTACAGCACACTGGTCTACACTGAGTGTGAGTATCTACAGCACACTGGTCTATACAAAGTGAGTATCTACAGCACACTGATCATGGTCTACACAAAGTGTGAGTATCTACAGCACACTGATCTACACAAAGTGTGAGTATCTACAACAAACTGGTCTACACTAAGTTTGAGTATCTACAGCACACTGGTCTACACTAAGTGTGAGTTTCTACAGCACACTGGTCTATACAAAGGGTGAGTATCTGCAACAAACTGGTCTACACAAAGTGTGAATATCTACACAAAGTGTGAGTATCTACAGCACACTGATCTACACAAAGTGTGAGTATCTACAGCACACTGATCTACACAAAGTGTGAGTATCTACAGCACACTGATCTACACAAAGTGTGAGTATCTACAGCACCCTGGTCTACACTAAGTGTGAGTATCTACAGCACACCGGTCTACACAAAGTGAGTATCTACAGCACACTGGTCTACACAAAGTGTGAGTATTTACAGCACACTGGTCTACCCAAAGTGTGAGTATCTACAGCACACTGGTCTATACAAAGTGTGAGTATCTACAGCACACTGGTCTATACAAAGTGAGTATCTGCAGCACACTGATCATGGTCTACACAAAGTGTGAGTATCTACAGCACACTGGACTACACAAAGTGAGTATCTACAGCACACTGGTCTACACAAAGTGAGTATCTACAGCACACTGGTCTACACTAAGTGTGAGTTTCTACAGCACACTGGTCTATACAAAGTGTGAGTATCTGCAACAAACTGGTCTACACAAAGTGTGAATATCTACAGCACACTGGTCTACACAAAGTGTGAGTATCTACAGCACACTGGTCTACACAAAGTGTGAGTATCGACAACAAACTGGTCTTCACAAAGTGTGAGTATCTACAGCACACTGATCTACACAAAGTGTGAGTATCTACAGCACCCTGGTCTACACAAAGTGAGTATCTACAGCACACTGGTCTACACAAAGTGTGATTATCTACAGCACACTGGTCTACACTGAGTGTGAGTATCTACAGCACACTGGTCTATACAAAGTGTGAGTATCTACAGCACACTGGTCTTCACTAAGTGTGAGTATCTACAGCACACTGGTCTATACAAAGTGTGATTATCTACAGCACACTGGTCTACACTGAGTGTGAGTATCTACAGCACACTGGTCTATACAAAGTGTGATTATCTACAGCACACTGGTCTACACTAAGTGTGAGGATCTACAGCACACTGGTCTACACTAAGTGTGAGGATCTACAGCACACTGGTCTACACTAAGTGTGAGTATTTACAGCACACTGGTCTACACAAAGTGTGAGTATCGACAACAAACTGGTCTTCACAAAGTGGGAGTATCTACAGCACACTGATCTACACAAAGTGTGAATATCTACAGCACACTGGTTTACAAAAAGTGTGAGTATCTACAGCACACTGGTCTACATTAAGTGTGAGTATCTACAGCATACTGGTCTACACAAAGTGTGAGTATCTACAGCACACTGTTCTACACAAAGTGTGAGTATCTACAGCACACTGTTCTACACAAAGTGTGAGTATCTACAGCACACTGGTCTACCCTAAGTGTGAGTATCTACAGCACACTGGTCTACACTAAGTTTGAGTATCTACAGCACCCTGGTCTACACAAAGTGTGAGTATCTACAGCACCCTGGTCTACACAAAGTGTGAGTATCTACAGCACACTGTTCTACACAAAGTGTGAGTATCTACAGCACACTGTTCTACACAAAGAGTGAGTATCTACAGCACACTGGTCTACACTAAGTTTGAGTATCTACAGCACACTGGTCTACACTAAGTGTGAGGATCTACAGCACACTGGTCTACACTAAGTGTGAGGATCTACAGCACACTGGTCTACACTAAGTGTGAGTATCTAAAGCATACTGGTCTACACTAAGTGTGAGTAATTACAGCACACTGGTCTATACAAAGTGTGAGTATCTACAGCACACTGGTCTACTCAAAGTGTGAGTATCGACAACAAACTGGTCTTCACAAAGTGGGAGTATCTACAGCACACTGATCTACACAAAGTGTGAATATCTACAGCACACTGGTCTACACAAAGTGAGTATCTACAGCACACTGGTCTATACAAAGTGTGATTATCTACAGCACACTGGTCTACACTGAGTGTGAGTATCTACAGCACACTGGTCTATACAAAGTGTGAGTATCTACAGCACACTGGTCTACTCAAAGTGTGAGTATCGACAACAAACTGGTCTTCACAAAGTGTGAGTATCTACAGCACACTGATCTACACAAAGTGTGAATATCTACAGCACACTGGTCTACACAAAGTGTGATTATCTACAGCACACTGGTCTACACTAAGTGTGAGTATTTACAGCACACTGGTCTACACAAAGTGTGAGTATCTACAGCTCACTGATCATGGTCTACACAAAGTGTGAGTATCTACAGCACACTGATCATGGTCTACACAAAGTGTGAGTATCTACAGCACACTGGTCTACACTGAGTGTGAGTATACAGACTAAAAAACTTCCAGTGTGCACGCAAACATAAGTGTCAAACTAGGTTCCATTTTAATGTTAGTTATACATAACAGGAATAACTTTTTACTGAGAATCAATATAATTGTTAACATCTTTTTTTTTTAGCGAAGAGCCAGGGGACTCCCCGCCTGGCAGGGAAGTTCTGTAAAGAAAACAAGGAATGGATCGTGGAGAAGATACAGAGCATCGGCAGCTACATCAGTAGTGAGTGAGTAAAACACACACATTTAAATCACTTTAATGTTAAAAAACTTATGACACATATCAGTCTTTTCTGTGAGTACAAGTTTGACACCTGACATTTGAATACCTTAGTATATACTGGGCCTCTGAGGAGTGTTTTTTGAGGTGTCTGATGACGCTGTATTACCTCTGAGGAGTATTTTTTGAGGTCACTGATGACGCTATATTACATCTTTTAGTTCTTAGGGTCAAACTTGATTGTTCACCATTTAAACAGCATCATTCTAATAATGGAAAATATGTTTTGTAATCTTGTGTGTGATTGTTATACTGTGTGAGATGGTGATTAAGACAGGTTTGACTGTATACCCAGCCTATTGTGTTTGTTATACTGAGAAAGGTTGTAAGATGGTGATTAAGACAGGTTTGACTGTAAATCCAGCCTATTGTGTTTTGTGTTTTTACTAGAATGCCCTCTTCATCAAATACTTACAAAACATTTAATGAGGTAAATCCTGACTGATCTGAATATGTTATTGCAGGCCTTGGAAGTCTTTGTCAAAATTGTCAAAAAAATAACATAAGATAACAAGGTCCATCACTTTCTTTTTTTTGCCCTACCAGTATGGTACCCGTAATCGTCCAGTGTTAAATTAGAAACTCCCATTTGATTACTATGTTTAGTATGTTGTTGACTAACGTTAGCTCTAATGATAAATTGTCCTCATTACGGAGGGTCAAAAAGGCATAAGTCAAATTGTGGCAAAAAGTTTGTGGTATAGAGTAGTTTAATATTGTGACACTGGACATATTGTGTGCTTGTTTTTACAGGATATTTGAGACAGACGACAGTAATATCTTGGAGCAGGCGACCAACGAGTTCATGGCCCAGCTGTTTTCATTACTGGCCAGTAATATACTGGACACAGACACAGGTAACACACCTTATCAGGCTCTTCATTCATTGGTTAGGATCCTACTTAAATTAGACCACCGCTCCAACTATTTACAGGGTAAACTATTTACAGTGTACACCTCTGTCTGATGGAGATAGAAGAAATAGGGATCCATCGTTAAATGGAAAAGGGGTCACAGTGACCATCTAGGATCACTAGCCCTCCACCTTCGAGGCCTACATGGGGCGGTCACAAGGTACTGGCTGCAGGTCAGTGGTTTAAATCCAGGTACTCCGGTTTTCATCCACCACCAAAACTCATCACGTCCTTCAATGACCATAGCTGTTGATAGGATGTAAAAACAAACCAACCAAATTTTAAATGAAGTTCAATCATCGAGCTTGTGGAAAATCATATTAGAAAACATCCCAGAGACATGCTACATTCTACAATATCATCCTTCTTGAAGAGTAGTTATAAATTAGAAAATTTCCATTTTCTCAAATGGAAGGATATACCTGGTAGTTGAAAACCATGACTATCTGTGTCTTAGAAAGAAGAAAACATTTAAGTTTCAATTCCAAGTTGAAGGTGGTCTTTTGTGTCCTCCGAAGTCATAGTGGATGTTGATAGAAACCAAAATTGATCTGATGACCTGATAGTAATTCTAGGGACTTACATGCTATCTCCATTCCTGTTACTATTGGCTTGGTATCTGTTTTTACACCTGTCTTCATGAAGTATGACATTTGTGTTGATACATTATATAATTGTGTGGTTTGATAACAAAAATTTCCACCCAAACATTATTTTTCGCTGATTTATGTTTGAGATATGATGAACTCCTATGCTAATTCTCACTGATTTATGTTTGAGATATGATGAACTCCTATGCTAATTCTCACTGATTTATGTTTGAGATATGGTGAACTCCTATGCTAATTCTCACTGATTTATGTTTGAGATATGATGAACTCCTATGCTAATTCTCACTGATTTATGTTTGAGATATTGTGAACTCCTATGCTAATTCTCACTGATTTATGTTTGAGATATGATGAACTCCTATGCTAATTCTCAGCGATGATGAATTCTTTCACTGCATCAAAGTATTCCGACCACAAAAACTTGAGCCATGTAAAAATATGATGCTTTACAGGATGAATGACCGTATTTTCTCTGTTGTTTTATAGGCCAGAGAGATCTACGTAACATTCACCACCTCATCACCAACAACTTCCTGTGGCTGGAGCACCACCTGGACATACAGTATGTGCTGCCATCTGGTGACAACAAACCACTTCCTGTGTTCACCACCAACATGAAGTCTACAGGACAGAAGGAATTTGACCCAGCCAGGGAGTTTGATCTGATCGGAACGAGGAAGTTTGATCATGTAGGTCTGCTTATCAGTGTCTCCAGACTCTTGTATTCCACTTCAATCTGTTTATTCTGTGTGATTAAAACAACAGACCTCTTTATTAATACTTGCCAACTTTTCTTATTTAGGAGGGAGACTCCCGATTTTAGACCCTTAAATTTAGTATTTTCAACAAGTGAATTTTCTAAACTATTCCTATATTCCAAGATCTAATGATTTCATCTGAAAGAACAGCTCAAAATATGTCAATTAAAGGGTTATTTGTCTCTAGGGGTATATACACACATGTTATTTAGCTTTTAATTTTGAGCAGAATCTTCCCCAATGGAAATTTCATAAAGTTGGCAAGTATGTTCATGTCAATCTTATTCAAACCATGAAGTAGTGGAGCGATGATTGTGGTGTGTATTAAGATAGATATCCTATATCAAGCAAGCCTCATTTTTAACAAACTTAAGAATCTTCCCTCTATGATCGAGATATCCCTATATCACCCCCAAGGTATGAAAAATTCTATTTATGTCACTGTTTAATATGATTGACACAGTGTTGTGTAACTGGTTGGACATTATAGACAATAAAAGGCTTAATTAGTCCATGAAAAAAATCTATTCGAGTGAAAAACTCCACTCCACTTTACTCAGTGGTTAAAGCGCCTGGCATTCTGCTACCACTAGCCCTCCACCACTGGGTCGCGGGCTCGAGGCCTACGTGGGGCAGTCGCTAGGTACTGACCAAAGGTCGGTGGTTTTTCTCTGGGAAATCCGGCTTTCCTGCACCACCAAAACCTGGCACGTCCTTAAATGACCATAGCTGTTAATAGGACGTAAAACACAGACAAACCAAACCAAATTCAACCAAACAGATGTAAACTATAATGAGTTCTGAATTCCATTTCCTAATTTCTCAGTTTACCGTGACCAGTATGTTATACAATCTGAATATTTATACTATTGTGAATCCTCATCATGTTGAAGCTGTTGGAACTATGAATATAAATGTGAAAAAACTACAGTATTCAGTATATAGGAGTGAACTGAGCAGTAAGATACTGATAGGAGGAAGAAACTTACTTATTAAAATCGTTTTCAAGTAAAAAATAATGATTTTTTCTATTTTGTTCCCTTTTCACAGGAAGCAATCAGAAATTTCCCGATACAGTGGCAGCAACTACTCCAGTCTGACCTAGGTCTCAGTGAGTTTGGATTTCGGACACTTCTCTACAATCGACATGAGATGCAGGATGGAGCTTTCCTCGAGGAAAATGAAAAGAAACCAGTCGAGGTTCTGCGATCTGCCTATGAAAATGAAGCAAGGGAACTCGGCTGAGTTGTAGTGTTGAACTGAATGTTACTTCCACAGGTTATGATTGTCTCCCTTTATAGTAGAGTTTGTAACCAAAGTTGATGTAGTGCTAGAATTGTTTCCCATTCAAGGTTAGGGTATTCCATAATTTATCACATGGGGGAGTTGGGAGGCACCTGTATTTATAAATAATGGATGGTAGGGGTAAAACTAGCTCTGACGTCCATTTTTCTTCTGCCTTCTTGTTTTAAATCACCTTTATACATATATGGGTGGTGGGGTCCCTGAAAAAGCGCCTCCCATCCCTCCCAAACAGTCGACTCATTCACCCCTACATATTTAAACTGGACTTGCCCAGTCTTTAATTTGGTAAGGTTCAAATGTGACTTTAGGGGTGAAGGGTTAATTCTGGAACTGCCCTTAGCTAGTCAGGGAGTCTGCTGGCAGAAAATATAAGTTTTATTAAAGTGTAGATACTATATGCACTATAATTATGAAATCCACAAGGATAATATTATATTTTTAGAAAATTTAGTAACTAGTGCCATAGAAAATGTAACACAATTTCTCATTTGTGTGCTGCTGTTTTATTTACTAATACTATATTATCTTCATTGGCACAACTTTGTGTCATTTGTGAAATATCATCGTTAAATTAATCATGGATCTATTGCATCAGGCAGATCAGTAGTTCCAAGTAGAGTCCCAAATATTCCATCTAAAACTGGAAAAAGCAGCCGGAATATGGAACTTGATATGTGGAATATAGTCACAACCAGGGTAAAAAATCAACATCTGGATATCTTTATCATATGTAACCAGATGTACAGATGTAATTTAGTTTTGATGTAGTGGAACAGGACTGGTTTGTTTGCTGGTAAGCACAATTGGTAGAGCGTCTGTCTAGAGTTCCGAGGTTCCCAGGTTTGAATCCCAGTCTGACAGTGTATTTTTCCTCTCCTGTTACTTTGATATGTTTACTGTATTGTATCTTGACCAAGTCTTGTTTTTATCTTTGTTCTTCAGATGTAATTGTGTTGCATTACCGGTATATAACATTTTCTTGACTTTTCCCCCCATCTTTTTAACATTATCTCATTGTCACTGATTATGTTTTAAATCAATTTTTTCCTGTTTTGACTTTCCATTACACAAAAGTAAACATTATTTAGTGAAATGACATTGTGTTTATGATATTACAGACATTTTCATGCAAGGTTTTACATTTAACACATTAACACTAGTACACCACTTTGTTTAAATATTTGGTATTATTGGAGATAGTCTGTACACAATATGAACGCGCTACTAAACAATGGTTCTGTTAAAATAGCTAGTATGGATGAAATATTCTAGGTAGCTTTGAAAAGCAAGTCGACTTACTTTTTACCGATTTCTGTAGACTAGGAATACCTTTACCCCCATCTCTAGTTGTTTTATTGGTATAGAGATAAATTTGTTGCCTATGATTATTTTTATCAACTTATACCTTTACAGACTGTATATTTAAGAAATACATTTCATGTTATGTAATAAATTATATAAAATACAAACTTAGGTGATTAAGTTCACACAAGTATTGAGCTACAAAATAAGTTATTTAGAAATACCCAAAGCATCTGACATGATTGATATTTTATACCGAGACCGGTTATTGCAACCTTTTTACAAGGTTTTACTACATTTTGATCCCTTATCATTGTATTACTTATAATATATCTAATTATAGCTATACATTGAATCTATTTGTAGTTATACATTGTAGCTATTTATAACTACATATTGTATCGTTAGATATACATAGCTATACTTTGTATCTATAGCTATACATTGTAGCAATTGTTATACATTGTATCTATAGCTATACATCGTATCAATAGTTATATGTTATATCTATTACAGCTATACATTGTATATTTGTATAGCTAGCTATACATTGTATCTATTCAAAGCTATACATTGCTACACATTGTATCTATTTATAGCTATACAACATTATGTTATATCTATGCAAAGCTATACATTGTATATATATATATAGCTAGCTATACATTGTATCTATTCAAAGCTATACATTGCTACACATTGTATCTATATCTATGCATAGATATGCATTGTATCTATTTATAGCTTTACATTGTATCAATAGTTATATCTATTACCGCTATACATTGTATCTATATATAGCTAGCTATACATTGTATCTATTCAAAGCTATACATTGCTACACATTGTATCTATATCTATACATTGATATACATAGCTTTATGTTGTATCTATTTATAGCTGTACATTGTATCAATAGTTATATCTATTACAGCTATACATTGTATCTATATATAGCTAGCTATACATTGTATCTATTCAAAGCTATACATTGCTACACATTGTATCTATATCTATACATTGATATACATAGCTATACTTTGTATCTATTTATAGCTGTACATTGTATCAATAGTTATATATATTACAGCTATACATTGTATCTATATATAGCTAGCTATACATTGTATCTATTCAAAGCTATACATTGCTACACATTGTATCTATATCTATACATTGATATACATAGCTATACGTTGTAACTATTTATAGCTATACACTGTATCTGTAGACATCTAAACACCATATCTTTTTTTTAATCAGGTATGTAGGAGACCCTGCTACTTCGCTTGTTACCGATAGTTTATAAATGTTTTACCAATGTCGTACCGTCCATTACCCTGTTGCTCAAATGTCAACCGGTTTAGTTACGTTATTGTTCATTAGTTTTCTTTTGTCCTTTAAAGAAATCCTTTACACTTTTATTTATGATTATTATATATATGCCAGTTTGATATTTTTCTTTCAATCCAGATTGAAGACATTATGGCCATGTGAGGTCAACATTGTAAATCAAACCAAAGGACTGTAATAGTAAAATTGTTTCCATTTTAACTTGTGAAAGTTTTTGCATTGTGATAATGTTAAAGTTAGAACGTATATTTAAAAAAATGTCAATATGTTAGGACTGTGTTGATGTTAGTGCTCATTATAAAAAAAATGAGAAATTACCAACAAAACACTTACATATTAAAAATACTAGTGACAGTTTAATATGTAAAGACTCTTTCCATCATCTCTTCTTCATTAACTCATTCACCCCTGACAACACATTTGAACAGGTTGAAATATTTCATTATGAAATTTCAGGGTGAATGAGTTCATGATTAAGGATAATCTCTTATTGATGTGATATTTCTAAAAAATGCAATTTGAAGCTTGGTAAGAATCTAAAAAGAAAAGTAGTGAGGAACTGGTGGTTTATATAGAGGGAATTTAGTATGTGTGTTAGCTATAAAATAGATCTGAATTATAAAATATTATCTCAAGGATATTTTACTTTAAATGCCTGCTCAATATACTATAACAGATCTCATGCTTTTCTGTAGAATTATATATTTATTTGGTTTAAGTACAATCCAGATTTTGTTTACCAAGATATAGTTTTTTAATTAACATGGTTTGAAGTTCTAGACATATATAGTTTAGACTTTTAGACTTCTTCTAGACATGCATTAAATTTTTAGGCTTAGTTTAAACTCCAAGACAAAGTTTAGATTTTTAAACATAGTTTAAACTTTTATACAAACTTTAGATACGGTTTAGACATTAAGACGTTGTCTAAAATGTTGTAACTTTATTAACCATCATGAATTAGTCCAATTGATTTTGTCTCTTTTTTAGTTTTGATACTTTTGGTCTGTGATTCTGGTTTTATGTCCCTTTTTACATTTAAGGTACTAGTAATGACTCATACCATGATTGTTTCTATTTTCTGTTTTTCTGTTTTTTGTTTTTTTTATTTCATTTTTTTTTTGGTGAGTTTTAATTGGCTATTTGGTTTTTACTCCATAGGAAACATCTATTCAATATGTTGATTTAAGTAATAATACTGTTTGAAACTCTAATTTTGAGAGCAGATTGGCTTAAAAAATTAAAAGATACCATTGCCGTTATGATCTATCAGACATGAGAAAGGTCAAAAGACCGAGTACAGTACATATAAACGTGGAATTATTATAACTTATTTATTCATTCTTGTTTCTATATGTACCTAGTCTGATATCCGTAAATTTATTTTCCTCATCAGTTTTAGCTGATTATCATCTTTATCAACTGTTTTATATCTTTTCAACTGAATTTTTTGTTTATTTTTACCTTTTTTCAACTTTTCATTTTCATTACAATTGATTGTATACAAAGAAGTTTGGGCAAAAATATTTTCAAGAAATTTGACCTTTTTTGAAAATTCAAAGGTTTAAACTGGACATCAATATATATATATACCTGGTTGTTTGTTCTGTTTCCAGTTTTATCTATAGAACACTTTGACCAGGGGGTCAGATATTGGGGAGGGGATATCTTGGGAGTCCACACTCTTTTGAAATTTGAAATTAGAAATTAAAGACACAAAAAAGGATAAAAAAAGGGTTAAAAGAACAGAAATGAAGCTCAGCTGGAAATGATTAATTTATTGCAAAATGTGTCAAATCAACATATATCATCAATATCCAGTTAGGTGAAGAAGCATTCAGATGCATGCAAAGAAGCTGTGGCAACTTCTTTTCCATTGAAATTTTTGGATTCTTCCCTAGAAATGACAAAAGGAAAAGCAAGATGAAATGTGAATTGAGATACTTTGCTTGTGATGTAACATATTTTACAATACATCATCATTCTCTAGGAACTAATTACATGTACATAGTTTCTAATCCAAACATTGAATTGTATTATCTCCCTTTGGAAGAGTTCTTTCTTAAAGTCTTACTATCTGTTTTGGTGATTAAAGGTTGTGAATATTGGAATGTTACATGAAGCCCTAATCTGATTATGTGATAAAACTTCCAGTCCCATTTTGAAGCATATTTTTTAAATGTAAACAACTTTTGAAGTAATTTTCTCATAACTTTGATGTTCGATGATAAAGCTGTATCACTATACAATGTGTTTCTACACTGCTTAACTTGAGATTTTTGTGGTGTATTTAATACTTTTTATGAAGTTCCTAGCTACAATTATATCACTTATGTTAAGATATATGAGTACATGTATATGGACATACAATCTAACTTGTTCAGTTAATTTCATATGAACTGACCGACCGACTGCTATAAATAATTTGTGAACAAACAGCAGTGATAAAAAATACCCACACATATTTCATGTTATACAGTATCTTCAAAGAATCATGTTATAAAAAGATTTCATCCCAGCCCTGTTTTTATGAAGGATTTGTTGTTATTGACAGAATTTTTAAAGTATCGTCCTATATATATATCATCCCACCCGACTGTTTTACAGATAATTTGTTGTTGTTGACCTTGAGGATTGTTGTCTGTGATAATATACAACCCATGATATTTATATTAATTCTCGACCAAATAAAATAATTATTCCTTACTTCTTGTTTGAGTCATGAATTGAGATTTTTTTTCCCCCCCAGCTAGCATACAAGGAATGGCATAGATAATGAGTAGCACTTATATTTCATAAGTGTCCAACCTGAAAAAATTGGTAAAAAATATTGTGTACACCACATGAATTAATCCCAATTATTTTGCTAAGAGGGTAAGTTAGCACCTTTAATATTAATTAATTATATTCTGAACAATTTAAATCCTTCAAATTTGTTTGGGGAATACAGTTCCTTTAAAAAAAGATTGTGCAAGTTTGATATGGTGAAAAAACCGTTCTAAACAGGGTTCAGCTTTCTGTCAGAAGGTTAGAATTGGCACCACTAACCAATACTCAACTGTTTAAACTTGAAGATTTTGATTGAAAAAAGGTGCAAAATCTAAAAAAGAAGAAAGAAATGAAATGCAACATATTTTTCAGTTATGGCTTCACTACCCAGTGATCCTGTCTGTAAATTATCAGCAAGTTTTCACATATATATGGAATCAATGGCAGGCCTTAAAAGTAACGTTGATTTACCCAAAAAACTTTTACCTAGCTATACAGCAAGAACATGTTGAAAATAAATTCAAAGTGGTGGGGATAGGATCCAGGAGCAAATCCTGGTAGCATATCATAGTTTTCTTTTTCACGCCAAGCAATTGAAGTTATGATCATCGGGTGGGGATCTCCAAGTTGTGATCCAGTGATCAAGTCTCTAAGGGTGGTGCAGACCCCAGGATAAATTCTGATAGCATAATCATGTATTAGTTTCTTCATGCCAAGCTATCATATATGGTTATAGGATGTGTGTCTCAACTGTTTCAAAATTACCGGTATGACCAAAGGGACTTATAAGTCTCGACCACAGGTGCTGCACACTCTAATTTGAATATGGTGTATATATATACTATACTATTGTATATTATGTAGTACATACACATCATATTAGTGTGTCCAGCACCTGTGGTCTCGGCCTCCATATATGGGGAGTGGGGGACTTCAATTGTACAACTAAGAATCCTCATCATCTTAAAATGCCTCCAGCTATATATGTTTGATATTCATTCTGTATTTTCAGAGATGTCATTCAAATAAATATGACCAAAATACACTTTTGTTCCTCTGGGAGGCACGCTACCTTCTTTCGTACAACTCTGAACCCCTACCACCTGAGAAATATAGTTGATATCTATTCCACAGAAGTAAAGTTGTTCAGGTGTAGTACAAAGTTAACAAAGCCATATAACAGATATTTTTTTTATCAGATTTGCTATTTGGTGAAATTCCAATTAACAGTTCAGAAAAGTTATTAAAATCAGCATTGATAGATGGATAAGACTCCATGTTACGACAGGAGCTCAGTTCAGTCCTTCATTCACTGGGGCATATTTTATCTTTAAGTTAGCAGAATACGATCACTGGACTACAAATTAAATAGAAACTATTTATTTTACAACAGTTATTAAACAAGTTATTTCAACTTCTATTTATCACTCTTGTTGGCCCAGATGTTAGCGCACCGGGGGGTGTCTTAATGTGGGAGGAAACTGGAGTACCTGGAGAAAACCCATGTGGTCAGGCCGGTGAATTGATGCCTTTTCACGTCCGATCAGGGAATTGCACCCCGGCCATCTTGGTGAAAGGCAGGTGCGTTGTCCATTATGCCACCCGTCAACTAATCTCACCATAGATAAATCAAAAGTCCAAAAGACGTAGCTGTGTTTGTAATATTTTATTTAACATGTACTGTCTATATAACAAATATATTCAGATGTTCATATGAATAAAAACAAATATTAATTGGTACTTTTTTTTTGCTGCATTTAATTGTCTGCAAAATATATCTTGTGTTGATTATCAAAGAAGCACTCCAATATATTGCACACTCCACCAAGAATACTATTGCACTAGAAAGGAACTAATACCAATGCTTCAGAGCAGTGTCAACACCACCACTAATACACGCTGTACATACGGTGTAAAAAACTCAAATCTAGGGGTCATGAGGAGGTCCAAACATGGTACCTACAATATAGTAATGGACACTGCCTCACATATACACACAGATAATTATACAAGAGAGTTCAAAGCAGAAAGGTTACAGTAAAAACAATTCAAACATGTTTTTTTTTTATATCAAATACTGTATATAATACATGCATCATTTGCTGCTTGATCAATTCAGAGAGTTGCTATTTCCTAATTTCCGTTCCCTCAGATTTGCAAGATTTGTCATGCATACAGAATAAGCTCTTTTGAGTGACAACATTGAGTTGAAGCTTGTATGATTGACAAAATACCATAAGCTCATGAATGAAAACATGAAAAGCTCATATGTGTGACAACATGGAGGAAGCTCACATAAGCTAGAAGATGGAGTAAGCTCATATGAGTAAGAACATGAGGCTTATATGAGTGGCAGAACAGAGCAAGCTCATGAGCATCAACAGGAAGTAGATTCAAGAATGGCAGCATGGAGTAAACTCGTGAGCATCAACATGAAGTAAGCACATAAGTTACAGCATTGAGTAAGCTCATAGCTGTGACAACATAGAGCGAGCTCACACCAGTAACACATGGAGTAACCTCATAGAGTAAGCTTGTATGAGTGACAATGAAGCAAGCTCATATGATTGATAACATGGAGTAAGCTCATATGAATAACAACATGTTGTCAAATTATATTAGCGACAATAAGCAAAAAGCTCATTTGAGTTACAACATGGAGTAACACACTTTCTCTGTGACAACATTGAGTAAGCTCATATGAGTGACAGCATGGAGTAAGCTCAGATGAATTACATGGAGTAAGCTCAGATGAATTACAACATGGAGTAAGCTCAGATGAGTTACAAGATGGTGTAAGCTCAGATGAGTTACAACATGGTGTAAGCTCATACTTTGTGACAACAAGGTGTAAGCTCATATGAATTACAACATGGTGTAAGCTCATATGAATTACAACATGGAGTAAGCTCAGATGAAATACAACATGGAGTAAGCTCAGATGAGTTACAACATGGTGTAAGCTCATACTTTGTGACAACAAGGTGTAAGCTCATACTTTGTGACAACAAGGTGTAAGCTCATACTTTGTGACAACAAGGTGTAAGCTCATACTTTGTGACAAAAAGGTGTAAGCTCAGATGAATTACAACAAGGTCTAAGCTCAGATGAATTACAACATAGTGTAAGCTCATACTTAGTGACAACAAGGAGTAAGCTCAGATGAATTACAACATGGTGGAAGCCCAGATGAATTACAACATGGAGTAAGTTCAGATGAATTACAACATGGTGTAATGTCAGATGAATTACAACATGGAGTAAGCTCAGATGAATTACATCGAGTAAGCTCAGATGAATTACAACATGATGTAAGCTCATATGAATTACAACATGGAGTAAGCTCAGATGAAATACAACATGGAGTAAGCTCAGATGAAATACAACATGGAGTAAGCTCAGATGAATTACATCGAGTAAGCTCAGATGAATTACAACATGATGTAAGCTCATATGAATTACAACATGGTGTAAGCTCATATGAATTACAACATGGAGTAAGCTCAGATGAATTACACCATGGTGTAAGCTCAGATGAATTACCACATGGTGTAAGCTCATACTAAGTGACAACATGGGGTAAGTTCATACTTAGTGACAACAAGGTGTAAAATCAGATGAATTACAACATGGTGTAAGTTCATACTAAGTGACAACATGGTGTAAGCTCATACTTTGTGACAACAAGGTGTAAGCTCATATGAATTACAACATGGTGTAAGCTCATACTTAGTGACAACAAGGAGTAAGCTCAGATGAATTACAACGTGGTGTAAGCTCAGATGAATTACAACATGATGTAAGCTCATATGAATTACAACATGGAGTAAGCTCAGATGAATTACATCGAGTAAGCTCAGATGAATTACAACATGATGTAAGCTCATATGAATTACAACATGGAGTAAGCTCAGATGAAATACAACATGGAGTAAGCTCAGATGAAATACAACATGGAGTAAGCTCAGATGAGTTACAACATGGTGTAAGCTCATACTTAGTGACAACAAGGAGTAAGCTCAGATGAATTACAACGTGGTGTAAGCTAAGATGAATTACAACATGGTGTAAGCTCATATGAATTACAACATGGAGTAAGCTCCGATGAATTACAACATGGAGTAAGCTCAGATGAAATACAACATGGAGTAAGCTCAGATGAAATACAACATGGAGTAAGCTCAGATGAAATACAACATGGAGTAAGCTCAGATGAATTACAACATGATGTAAGCTCATATGAATTACAACATGGAGTAAGCTCAGATGAAATACAACATGGAGTAAGCTCAGATGAATTACATCGAGTAAGCTCAGATGAATTACAACATGATGTAAGCTCATATGAATTACAACATGGTGTAAGCTCAGATGAATTACAACATGATGTAAGCTCATATGAATTACAACATGGAGTAAGCTCAGATGAAATACAACATGGAGTAAGCTCAGATGAATTACAACGTGGTGTAAGCTCAGATGAATTACAACGTGGTGTAAGCTCAGATGAATTACAACATGATGTAAGCTCATATGAATTACAACATGGAGTAAGCTCAGATGAGTTACAACATGGTGTAAGCTCATACTTTGTGACAACAAGGTGTAAGCTCATACTTTGTGACAACAAGGTGTAAGCTCATATGAATTACAACATGGTGTAAGCTCATACTTAGTGACAACATAGCGTAATGTATAAGCTCATGAGTGACAACATGAAATTAGCTCAGGAGAGTGACATCACTTAGTAAGCTCAGGAGAGTGACATCACTGAGTAAGCTCATATGGGTATTCTGGTCTAATAAGCTATTAAAACAAATGCTTTAAAAGTTTGGCATACATGTTTTTTGTCATAGCATATCTGAAAGTATGTGCCATGTTTAACCATACCAGGCTTTTAAAAAATTGTACAGAGGTCATAAAAAGAATAAACAATACAGAAAAAGAGTCTATACATCCTTAAACATTATTTTTTTTAACATGCTATATATATAAAATAAAAGCTGTACACATTAATATAACTACAAGAATGAGTACATGAAATATGTATGAGACAACAGGGATTTTATTTTAACTGTCTCCACTCCAGCTTCTACGAGTCACTTATTATATTTAGTGCATATATGGATGCAAAAAGTGGGTGGAGTCACTGTTAGAATAACAAGCTGTGAGACAGTATGTGATATACATTTGTTCATTATTAAAACTTGAAATTGTTTGGTTCTGTCAACTTTAATTATTGTACAACTTCAAACCCCTATACTGCCACATATAAGTGTGGCCAGGAAGTGATTTAATGGTTAAATGTTGAAATCTTGGTCCCTATGTTCATCATTTAGTATTATCAGTTCTATATGCATCAAATAAATATTTTGTTGAAGATATATTTTTCCACATATTTCCGATATGTAAACAAAGCCTTAACCCTTTCCTCCCTATGTAACTTTAGTAGACTCTACCATGCATTGATATGGATGAGTCCATTATGGTCTACAGTGGTGAAAGGGTTAACCAGCAACGATTCCTCTCCTAAAATACAATTATTGCAATATATTCTAGATATCCACTATGTGTAAGTAAAGAGTATTGATTGATATACTTAACAAGAAAATACCTGTGTAAGTACAATTTTGAATTTATTTTGATCGTATTACTCAGAGCAGGTATATTTTGGTTTAGTCAAGCTCGCTAATCCAGCCATTATTTACCAGGATTCTCCACCATCCAGCCAGACCATAGAGAGGTTATACTTTGTTTAATAAAAAAAGAAAAATCTGAGTCATCAATCCATTAACCATTTTTAAGGGAATAAAGGTGGCTACATTATCGCTGGTCCACTGTCATATACGTACCAGAAACTGTGCTAACATCTAGGTTCATTGTTGTATACGTACCAGAAACTGTGCTAATATCTAGGTGAGATTATCAAACGTCACAATTATCACACACTTAATGATATTCAGTCATTTTAGTTTCATCATGTTAAATATTATGCAAGAGCTCACACGAAAAAATTAAACACACCTACGCATTACAATTGTATAATTATGTACCATTACAAAATAGGGGAGACAATTTGGTTCCATAACAAGAATTACACCTAGTCAGGTGAATCACTGAGGAAAAGTGCGAATACATTGTTGATTGATACGAACTTTCTGTATATAGAACATTTACACTTCTAGTGAACAACTATAATTACAGCACTACACAGGGTTCTACTGATTTCAGTCAGGACCATGCATAATGACAGCTATCAACATTTCACGCTCCCATGACTCAAACATTTTAATGTAATTTATAAACCATTGGACAGCTATATCCAAGATGTAAAATGATATTTTTTGAGTGGTCGTGCCATTACACAGACCAAAGTTTTAACCCTTTCACTGTAGACCATAATGGACTCATCCAGATGAATGCATGGAAGAGTCTACTCTAGTTACCTAGGGGTGAAAGGGTTAAAACAGGGGATTATGAAATGGGATATTGACATATCTGTCCATAATTATATAACATCACAAAGCATTAGGGCTAGACCTTCAGTGAATTCCATTGAAAACTAAAATGGATTCCGAAATTTAGATGCTGTGAAATCATCACTTCATTTACAATGTAGATTTTATCACCACCCTTGGTAAGACAGGGGTTACATGTAACAACCATGTGTTATTTTGTTTACAGAAATTGTTGTACACGTACAGAGAACAAATATAGGCACATACCTGCTTTAATACCAAATGTATACATCATCATTCAACCTTTTGAAGAAAGTGTTTTATATATAAACATTAGAAATTCAAGTTTTTAAAGTTACTGCAGCCCAAAAATTTAAGGAAACCCGTCCTACTTAATGTAAAACACTGTGAATTCCACTGTAGTTTTTCCGTACATAGCTACCTCCCCTTAGTTTCGTTTTGGTACTGTCTTGGGCCAGGGGCCAATCACTTATTATGTAGCTTAGTTGGTACATGTAAGAGCAATCACAAACCTAATGCCATGCCAGCAACAAGTTTGTCATTCCCAGTACACTGTAATAGTGTTTGGCAGTGGTATGGATATCCTGAACTCATTCACCCCTTTAGACACATTTGAACCCTTCCAATTCAAAGGTTGGAATAGTTCATTATGAAAATTCAGGGGTGAATGAGTTAAGCAACACTTTATTAGTCGATGTGTAAAATGTTCAAGCCAATAGATAGGCAAAATGTTGATATCTTTAGGAGTTAATAAGTATACTATTTGTGCTCAAGCCATGACAAGTCACTTTGTACATTTTACTTGTGTATACTTACAATCATCAACATCATCAGATGGTGAAACGTGGTGTAGACACATACAGATTTTTTGCAATTACACAGACTTATGAAGCAGAGTATAAAATAAACATATCACATGCTCATCCACGTAATGTTGCGGTAAAATTATAGAAAAGTCATTGATTACTAACATACCCGACAACATTGGAGTCAAAAATTTACCATTTTCCCCCTTAAAATGTTATAAGCGATGTATATATTTTGCAAACATGATTTTATTAATATTAAAAATATTTACAAGAACATGGTAGCATAATAACATTACACTGACCTATTCACTACATGGGACCATATTTTATCCGACTCATAAGGTGTTTCCTCAGAGAGAAAATAAGATCAGTAATTTTTGTTTCGATTTCAACAACCACAATATATCAAGAAATTTGGATTTCCTAAGGATTATAAAAGAGTATTAATTTTATAGGAAATATACATTGTATAAGTAACACCATTCTATGATGAAAAGTGAAAAATAAATAAGTTTTGAATCATAAAAAATCAAGTTGTAACATTAAGGTTTAGAGTTCAATCTATTTTCTACTGTTTTCAGACCTTTTATAGTTATTTTCATGTTAAATTTATATTGTTATCTCACATTCCTATAAAGACAATCATAGGTTAAGGGCATTTTGAAATTGTTCTCAGTGATATTGCAGAGAAATATTAACTTAACAAATATCCTGGCTATAGGTAGTGGAATCGAGAGGCCTAGGGATGAAATCCACTGAAGTTATTTTTGTGAAAAAGAAATGTTATAGTATAGACCTGTTTTATGTATAACTATTTCTTAAAGTAAGCTGGTAAATAAATCAGACTAAGAAAAAGTGCTAAACAAATTGGAACTCTTCTTTGTTGGAGATGCATTAAATCAATGGAACTCTCTACCTTAAGTAATATCTAAACTAGACCTTAAAATGATATCATTATCTTTGTATCATATTTAGAAAATATAACCATACTTGAAGAATAAGACTATGGGACAGATTTGACAGGATGTTAGAAAAGACAGAGGCCATGTTAGACAGGTTTTATTGTCAATTCTAAAACATGACTGCCATATTTCTTGCTGACTGGATGAAATATAACTGAATATATCTTTTTCATTTATTTACCATTGATCACCATTCACCTCTAATCCTCAAAATTTATATATTCACTATAACTCAGGCTGCTAGAAAAGTCTGATAAATATAAAAACAATCTGAAAATTCATTTAAAAACTGTACCATGCTTTCCACCATGAAAGACTTGGAGATTTCACATGACAAGTAATACATTAATGAGACAAATACAGTATTATAATACACTGTACAAAGTTACAACATCTGATAAATGTAATACTATTGATGTGTGAATACACTGTACCATATAACTGTCACACTTATTACACATGTGTTGAGGACTATGTGAAGGGACTTGTGAGAACGTTGTACTTTTGCGTGTGATGTCATCGTTAGACGACCATTTACACACTCGTTTCTGATGAATGACATGTGCACGGCGACGAAAATAATCTGCAAGTATTCAATGATGATTTGCTTCATGATTTGTTACAGTGATGAACGATCATGTCACCTGTTACCGACTCAGCTACAGGGAATGGAGGCCTTAATGGAGGCCTTGGTTACACCCCGTTACATACTACCGTATTTATCCTGCAATAAGCCCAGGGGACCAACACATAATCTCTGACTCAAAGTAGGGAGTGGGCTTATTACAGGAAAGTGAAATAGCATTTGTTGAAATTTCTACTGAACCGCAATATATCTGGGTGGGCTTATTACGGGAAAGGTAAATAGCATTTGTTGAAATTTCTACTGAACCGCAATAGATCTGGGTGGGCTTATTAACAGGCATGGGTTTATTGTTGGATAAATATGGTAATATGGCAATTAAAAATGAAATTGACTGGCCAAAGTACTGTAAAATATTGTCTCTCACTTTACAGAACAACTTTCTGTCCTCCGGTACTTCAGTTTCAATGAAAATATGATCTTACAGAATTAATATTATCATTGGAATAAGTTAAAAACAAATATATTCCAAAAAACTCAAAAATTTAACAAGCAAAAAATCTTCAACATTGAATCTTTGGATTTATAAATAAAAGGTTTTTTTTACAGTATATCCCGTTCCTGATCTAGACGATGACGGGACAGGTGTTACCAATATCACGTTTTCTGATTTTACGTGAATATGGAATCATATTTAATTTTCAATTCTTCAAACTTAGGTCTTTTACAAGTAGTTATAGACTCAGTAGGAGACTTTACGGAATAGAACATACTCTATGGACTGAAACTGTTTGTCATCGTAATTAACAGCACACTACTTCCGGTATCGTTTTTATAATACTGATATACCCTATTAAAACACTAACTATTTATGTCCATCAAAGGATTTCTTAGTGATACAAATGTCATTCTATCAAACTTCTTGATTATTTATATATATACTGACCACTCTACCTACAAAATTTGAACAAACGTTAAAGTTACCTAAGGCATTAGTAAAAATATCTGCATTTACATAAAGAATTCTAAATGATTAAAAATATCTACACAGGTAAAAGTATCAAAACTGATAAAAGACAAAGTAAAAGTAAAATCAAAATAGAGACAGATAAATGTTAAACTGGAAATGATTAAATCTGTTAAAACAAGCCTTGAATCAGCACCAGTATTAAAGATAAAATACTATGTAAACTAAAATATTTCTGTAACAAAAAAACCCATCAGATCTGACTAGAAATCACAGTTATATTGGCGACTAGAAAACAGTAAAATTCAAGCATATTTCAATGAAGATTGGAATCATTAATAAGTGTGGAGAATAAAGATGTGCTAACCAAGATGGCATCACCAGTAAGCATTCTGATATTGATTAAGTGAATGCTCAAATAACTCCTTCTTACATTAAAAAATAACCAAATGGTTGTTCAACATTTCCAAGAAGTCAAACGTATTTTCTTTCATTAATTATGCATTTTCAAAACTGGAATGACTATTATGCTACAGTGTTATAAATCATTCATATTGTCAAAAGTAAATTAAGGCTATAAAGCTGAAGACGCAAGCCTATCACACTTATATTAAGGAAATATGCTACTTTACCAAAATATGAATCTCTTTTATAAAAGAGTTCAAAAGGAAAAATCATGTCAATTTTTATTATGAAAACCAGTTCATATTTGTGTTTGTTATCTTTTTTGGTGGATAAAGTTGTGATGAAACATAATGTTGACTTAACACATGATTAAAAATACTCAGTGTGTGAGAAAATCCTTGTTTAAAGGAAGATAATTCTAAAATAAATTACCAGTAAAAAGTGTAAGGGAGATAATTTAACACAAATCACTGATAAAATATGTAAGGGAGATAACTTTAAAAAGAAAATTCACAAGCAAAACGAACAAAGGAGGGAACTCTTAACAAAATATACGAGTAAAGTATGTACGGCAACATATTCCTAAACATAATTTTCATAAACTTTTTTATTTTTAGAGAATTGCGAATATCCCTTGTATTACCTGTTTAACTGTTTGCCTCTGTTTACGTTTTTAGCTCTGTTATTTTTAAACTTAATGATGTGCATTTATGACAGACATTTTGTCATCAGAAAGTTGTGAACGTCACATTCTAAAGAAATATCATGTCACAGTTAAATTCTAATATACCTGTCCAGTAGAACTGGCAATCATTACAGAAGGATGTAAATTCTAAATGTAATACTTAGCTATACAGATTACTTATACACTATAGTGATACCAGATAGCTATGGAATATCAAACCAAGTACAGTATAGCAAAAACTTCAGTTTCTGTTTACTTTGAACGTAATACAACATCTGTGAATCATCAACAATGAATGTGATCTTTTATAAGAAAAGGTCAGGGGGCACTCTCTAATAACAACTGTCTATGATCCCAAACATATAGGTCAAGGTCAGAAATATAACTCGTTATTCAACACCTGTTGAACAGTCTATTGAGATAATAAAAAAAAAAGAGAAAAAAACATTAAGACAGATATAAACCCCTCATTTAAAAGATTTTACAACTTATAAACCTGTATAGAATAAATCAGAGGTACTCCGACCTTCACAACGTCAAACTCGCACTGGAGTGGTTCTATTACCTGTACCAGAACTGTAAAAAGACTGTTTTGAATTCTGACAGGTATGGAGATCATCCGAATACCAAGGTCAATACAAGCATTCAATTTAAAACTTTGCAAAATTATTCAAGTTTATTACACTTGAACTGCTTCAAAATAACAAACAAATCTTCCAACTCTCTAGTTACAAATGCCATAATCACATGACTCCTTAAAAAAAAAAAAATCGTTGAGAATTTTATATTTCTTATAAAGTTCAAGGTCACAAGATGAGTTGTATCATACCAGGTGAATAACTTGTTTACAAAAGTCAAAATCACAAAACACACACTCGTGAAATGCTTGTATATAACGTCTTATACAGAAAAACTTGGTGATCAAGGTATAAATTTGAAAAAAATAAAATATTGAATGGTGGGCCATCAGAAAGGAAGGGTAGTGGTTATTTAAAAGGGCAAAGGTCATGGGGTTAAAAGGTACAGATTATGGGGTCAAAGGACACAGATGATGGGTTCAATGTGAGGGAAGGGTTAATTCTATCCACACCTGCTTATTGACTTATTTGTACCTGTAGACTTTCGGTGTGTTTGTACATAGATGGTCCTCAATTCCTCATCAAAAACTTATGCATCTACCCCTGAAATTTCATGATGAACTATTCCAAGCTTTGAATTGGAAGAGTTCAAATGTGTCTTCAGGGGTGAATGAGTTGATGTTAGAACAATGATGGTTGTCAATTATTTGGCATCAAATACCATCAACATTAGACTGATGCCTCTACACAATCCTCGACATAAGTACCATCGGAGCGACGGTAGACAGTTGCAATTTGGTTATTTCTACCGCAGAGCGAGAATTGAGGACTGATCAATGGGTACGGCCAGAGATTCAACATGGATGCACCATCAAATCTTGTATGAAAGAAATGTCTAAGCCCATATCTGAAAAAACAACAACAAATGACATAAAGTTGTAGGCGTCCTTATTATGATACTCAACTTAGTTCAATTCTACATAAGGTTGTAGGCTTCCTTATTATGATACTCAACTTAGTTCAATTCTACAATAAGATATCTGTAATATACCATTTCTGAATGGCAATAAGGACTTAACAAACTATTGGTGGAGCAAGTCAAGTCTTAAACATCATCTTATATAGGTCAAGTCATATATATCATGTTATATAGGTCAGGTCATGTAAAATGTACTTTATGTTATAAAGGTCAGGCCATGTACATCATGTTATATAGGTGACGTAATGTACATCATATTATATAGGTCAGGTCATATACACCATGTTATATAGGTGACGTAATGTACATCATATTATATAGGTCAGGTCATATATACCATGTTATGTAGGTCAGGTCATATTCATCATGTTATGTAGGTCAGGTCATATACATCATGTTATGTAGGTCAGGTCATGTGCAATGTACTTCATGTTAGGTAGGTCAGGTCATACACATAATGTTATATAAGTTATATACCTCACATCATGTTATATAGGTCAAGTTATATACATCATGTTATGTTATATAGGTCAAGTTATATTCCTCACATCAGGTTATATAGGTCAAGTTATATACATCATGTTATGTTATATAGGTCAAGTTATATTCCTCACATCAGGTTATGTTGGTCAAGTTGTATACATCATGTTCTAAAGGTCATGCCATATAGATACCGTCCTAATTATACGACAATGCCGGTTGATATACCTTTAACGAGTAATCCCAGCTCCCGGTACATAGAGCAGTGCCATCAGGTGAGACTCCGAGACAGCTAACTCGGTTTTCATGTGCATACAATATCGTCACTCGGTTTCCCTTTAATACATCCCAGACATTCACTGTGTAATCGTTGTAGCCACCAAATAGAAGTCGACCTGTCAACAACAAACAGTTTTAATATTCTATATCATGTTGAATAGATTGATATATAAAAGGATTGGTGGTCAGATTGTGTTGTAAATAGTGCACTCACCCCTCACCAAAACTGGCAAGGATTGGTGGTCAGATTGTGTGGTAAATAGTACACTCAACCCTCACCAAAACAGGCAAGGATTGGTGGTCAGATTGTGTGGTAAATAGTACACTCACCCCTCACCAAAACAGGCAAGGATTGGTGGTCAGATTGAGTTGTAATTAGTGCACGCACCCCTCACCAAAACAGGCAAGGTTTGGTGGTCAGATTGGGTTGTAATTAGTGCACTCACCCCTCACCAAAACAGGCGAGGTTTGGTGGTCAGATTGAGTTGTAATTAGTGCCCTCACCCCTCACCAAAACTGGCAAGGTTTGGTAGTCAGATTGAGTTGTAATTAGTGCACTCACCACTCACCAAAACCGGCAAGGATTGGGGGTTAGATTGTGTGGTAAATAGTACACTCACCCCTCACCAAAACAGGCAAGGATTGGTGGTCAGATTGTGTGGTAAATAGTACACTCACCCCTCACCAAAACAGGCAAGGATTGGTGGTCAGATTGTGTGGTAAATAGTACACTCAACCCTCACCAAAACAGGCAAGGATTGGTGGTCAGATTGTGTGGTAAATAGTACACTCACCCCTCACCAAAACAGGCAAGGATTGGTGGTCAGATTGAGTTGTAATTAGTGCACTCACCACTCACCAAAACCGGCAAGGATTGGTGGTTAGATTGTGTGGTAAATAGTACACTCACCCCTCACCAAAACAGGCAAGGATTGGTGGTCAGATTGAGTTGTAATTAGTGCACTCACCCCTCACCAAAACTGGCAAGGTTTGGTGGTCAGATTGTGTGGTAAATAGTGCACTCACCCCTCACCAAAACCCGGCAAGGTTTGGTTCCCCCAATTGGAATTGAAATGATATGGGGTCACTTAATTGACAATGTGAAATTTCTCCAGCTAGAAGTGCGTACTTACCACTAATGGAAAAGTCGACAGAGTTACAGCCATTTATTAGACTATCTTTCTTGTAACAGTTCACCTCTCTGTCAGCTCGCAGGTCAAACAGGCGACACTGAAAAATTCAAGTTTTCTAAATTGATGTTTTTTCTGAGAACGCACCGTTTCATTATAAAAGTTTCATTTGAGAGAAAGGGTATGTTATTCAATTATATAGCTATACACAGTCAAAACTCTATCATTATGAACTTCCCCAACACATTTACTGTACACTCCATATATAATCAAGTCAACTTTTTGTGCTGTGGTGGGGGTTGTTATTATTAGACAATGAAAAATGACATTTATTGGCATTTTAACTGTCTCTGTACAGATATGAGTGGGCTTATTACCAGGCATGGGTTTATTGTCGGATAAATGTGGTAATACACTGTCGATACTTTGTGGTTAATATTGAATCTGTTTGAGACATCGAGAAATTGCTCACTGTTGCATCATCCGATCCTGTTGCAAATGCGTCGCCACTCGGGTAAAAACGGACGCTGTTGATGTCCGAGTCGTGTCCTTCAAACATCTGTACGCATTCGCCAGATCTCATGTCCCACACCATGGCTGCCTTATCACAGCCCTGTTAACACAAAACAGTCCGCCAGTAAAAAATCGGCCATGGCAAATATCAAACATGCAAAATAATTCATTATTAAATTGCTTGCCGTCAGTTGAAACAGCTGAATTATTGAAGTTTTAAAATGTATATACTGTTATACTTCATCCACATAACAGAAGATCTCATTGGATAAAATGTTATTTTCCCTTACATGATCATGATATTCTTTGATATTTAAAAGCCTTGTTGTGTATTTTTTCTATTCCAGTATAGATTATTTATTGCCCATCTATAAGGAAACATATAAACATTAACAAATTATTCACGGAGAATTCGACATTGTGTTTTCTCACAAAGGGACGAAAATTTGTTTTATACTCACCCCTGATATAAATAGATTGCCAGTTTCCGAGGGTGATAGGTCAATACTCATCACATCTCCTGCGTGACCATGGAAGCTCTGGATCAGCTGACCACTCTCAACATCCCACAATGCACAAGTACTGTCGCCACTTCCTGTTAAAATCTGCAACAACATAGGGCTGTCAAACAAGGGACATTACAGTCTGCTTCAATCAACAGGGCTGTTTTCATTTAAACAGTTGAACCGGTCGGACCACAGTTGTTCGTTTATGTAATAAGGCTGGACCTAGTAATGTGATGCTGATTTCAGGCGAGCCTCGACAAAGCCTTGCAAGGCCTGCATAAACATTTGCAGGTCCGCCAGGATTTATACCTGAAATTGTTACATTTAAAAATAGACAAACCGGTTGTTCTGCATAAACGACCAGGCCCCAGGTGTTTTATATTTGACCTGACAGTCAAAGAAAATGTCTCATCATTAACTTGAACTAATTAATAATCTAAGTTGATTTTTAGAACCAAGAAAATCACATGTTCTGATTTTAATAGAGCCCAGGAATATTATACTTGGCAACCTTTTGAAATTCCCATTGGGGAGATTCCACATGCTCAAAACTGAAAACATAAATAAATGTGTGTATATACCCCCTAGAGATAATATAACTCTTTAAAATGACATCTTTTGAGAGTTCTTTCAGATGAAATCATTAGATCTTAGAATACCGGTCTAGAATAGTTTGACAAATTCACCTGTTCGAAATATTAAATCTAAGGGTCTAGAATCAGGGAACTCCTTCCTAAATAGGGAGAGTTATCATTTTTTTTTAACTTACTGTACCTAAATGATCAATCAAGTAAAATTATCAATCAATAATGTTTGGACTTGCAGTATACGGATAACCACATACCTGTTTATCTGAGGTTGTAAATGTACAGCAAGAGAGATAGCTCGTGTGTGTAGCTACTGCCTTCTTCTTGGCCGCGGGGTCATCTTCTCTCACCGGATAAACTGTGCACTTGTTGTCTAGACCTCTGTAATGTCAAACACATAGATTGATAAAAATTCCTGTAAGTTTTATTTCCCTTCAATGTTACAACCTAGACTGATTTTCACGTATCTGGTTCAGCTGAGTAAACCCGACCACAATAACAGGTGCATTTTAGCTCTGAACATAAGGTCAGCACAGTTTCCCTCCAAGTGTGTTCGTTTATTAAAGAATATTTCTGTGCCACTTGAAGCGTTCAAAACAGAATACGTGAAGATAACCTTAAAACAGCACTGCCAGAGTATCAACTGATCAAATCAATTGTGAGTTATAAGATTACGGAGAATCATCACTGTCTGTGCCGTTACGATCCTGACACAGTGTTCCTATTAATTTGGAATCAAAACAAGCAAAAGATTTTCCAGCAATAAGCCCATACCTGGTAATAGGCCCATACCTGGTAATAAGCCCATACCTGGTAATAAGCCCATCCAAATCTATTGCAGATCGGTTACAATGCAATCACATGCTATTGTATTGTCTTGTAGGCCTATTATGTACATCCCCAACTTTGAAACAGAGACTATGTGTTGACACCCTGGGCCTATTGCAGGATATATACTGTAATCTAAATGTACAGCAAATATCTTGCTTCCATTTCAATGTTGCGAGTCAATGGACACCAGGTTACAACATGCAGTTTTAAACTTGTAAACATTACAGGTGTACCTACCCACACGCTACAACCTCTCCTGAAGGACCAAACGAACACGCCATCACCCATGTCGTCGGCATGGTAACCGCATGCTCCTGGAAATATAATCAGGCTTTGATGATAACAGTTATCGACTACTAGAAGAAGGACATATTAATACTTACTACAATAAATCGTGGTGTAAATCTATATACAAGATTCACAGAAATGGGACTGTGACATGTCTCTTGGAATAGTACACACCTTCAGAATTTCGATGCATACATACATATATGTGACCTTGATTTAAACAAAATTTCCAGACATACAGGACCTTGAGCTGCTCAGATGGATATTAAATTGAAAAACACATGTTCTGTAACAGATTTTCGGTAAAGGGATAACGTTTTAGCTATATCTACCTATATCTAATAATATATCACTAGTACAATAAGTAATTAATGTTTGGCTGTCATATCACTATGAAACGCAATATTTGCATATCACTGGATCCTCCGCCTTTGTTCTTTCAAAAAGATTTGCCCAATGTTGATTTGTCTTAAACGAACTTAAAAGTATTGTTACCAGGCTAATGAACCTGTACACCCCTGTATACCTTATACGTAAAATGTCAAAATACATTTCTTTTTTATACAATCTCACCTTATTTGTTGTGAAGGCATCCCATACCAGCATTTTACCATCCTGAAGGAAAAGACAGACAGTTGGAAGGAATGACAGCAAATAATACAAATGTAATACAATCTAATTAAAATACATCTCAATATCGCTCTTATGTAGTAGCAATATTAAAGATATGCAATTACAAATATACTGAATACAAATATTTTATCTTTGCATTAAATAGGTATTATTTTGAATTTTTATTTCACCTACAAAATGGCTACATGCATATATAACATTAGTGTCTCTAAACAAACAAACCTGAAATAGGGCTGCAACAATGCATCAACATGACGATACGATACGTATCACAATGCTGTGGTCACGATATGATATGTATCACAATGATATGGTCACAATACATATAGTAACAGTAGAAGCAAAGAGAAAAGTTATGTTGCAAAGTTTTAATGGCAATATTACAACAGGAAATAGACTTGGTCCAAAATGGGCATGACTTTAAAGTTTCACACAATTCACGTCTTTTGACGTGCATGTTGAGTTGAAGCTTTCAATCACCGTATTGAAAGGGATATGATTTTAATTCAGAAACGACAAAATCCAAGAAATATTGTAGGTGTATCATAATATATCCTCCCAAAAAATATTGCGCATCGTACAGTATTTAAAATATCGCAATATATCATCACACGAAATATCACTGCAGCCCTAATTTGATGTGGTAGACTTTCAGACTTTTTTTAATGGTGGTCTGTTGTACCCCTATGTAACAGCTTACCTGTGAAGAGCTCACTATACGACGTTTGTCAGTCGACCAGTTCATACATAACACCTTCCCATGGTGTCCTTTCAACATCTTCCTTTGCTTCATGACAAAATTGCTTATACCAGTGTTTTCTATATTCATCGTGGCCCTGCACACTGCAAAAATAATATACACTGAAATAAACTTTTGAGCTTAACTTCTTTCAATGAAGTAAATCCAATGCTCTATAAGTGATAACAACATCAATGGAAATGTGCAGCATTACTGGTACTGTACATTAATTGAAATAAAATTCCATAACGATGAAATTTGATTAAAAGGAAGAATGTGATTTCAATATTTTTTTCTAAGGGAATTATTTATGGTCACAGTATACAGAGCACATTAATTGTCTGGAAAAATTTCAACACTGAATGATCCATGCTATGGTAAATCTGTATCAAGCATTCCATGGTTTTGGAATGGTGGGGTCAATCTTAGCTCATTTTGTCATAGAGTAAAACGGTAGAACTAAGAGTGAATGTTTGGTTTGTTTGTCTTTTAAATCCTATTATCAGCTATGGTCGGATAAGGATGTGCCAGGTTTTAGTGGTAGAAGAAGCCGAAGTTCCCGGAGAAAAAACACCAACTAACGTTCAGTACCTGGCGACTGCCCCACGTAGGTGTTGAACCTATAACCTAGTGGTGGAGGGCTAGTGGTTGCAGAAGGCAAGACTCCTTTACCACATTTTAACGAGATTGAGTTGTTACAATTTCAAAACTGCATCTTGGGATAGAGGTATAGAATAGTCTGACATTAACTTTGCATGAAGAAAATCAAACAATGATGAGCTTAATTGTAACTCATAGTTTTAAACCCAGTGTTCATCCTTTCTAAACTTCACAACAGCTGTTCCTACAAAAAGGCAAAATAAAATCACTGTAACAGCTCGTTCATGTCAATTTTTCATTTATGAAGATTATGTTTCAATACAGATGGACTTGAGTGGCCAATGCTTGGTTTTCTTGTTTCTAGATATCATTCCACTGGTGCATTCACAGCAAAGTAAGACCAAACTCACATTACTAGTATTATTAGTACCTTAATATGTCACAATTCCATGCACATATTGGGAACTGCTGTCTGCACCTGAAAGGTATGTGATCGTGATTTCTTCACTGAGTCAAAAACTTATCAACTTTCATGATAAATAAGGGGTCCTGATGTTCAACATACTGCATCAAGAGTGTATTATACAATCATGGTATTGCTATTATTGATTCATACACTCCCAAAATAGAAATTACAACACAAGTTTACTGTTGTTCACAGAGCCTTGTTGATACTGGCTGGAAGATAAGTAAATGTATATTGGGAGGCTTAGCTCTTCCTTACTGACAACAAGGCCATGCGATTGAACGGTGTTATCTTATGTGTAACTGTGACAGCTGACCAACTGATTGCGTCTAAGTGGGGACGAAAGGTTAAAAGAAGTTTAGTATGCTCCGGTGACAGATAACATCATCATTAAGTTATAATAATAAAATACGTGCTAAAAGTGGGCACATGTTTAATGGATTAATTTGCTGGATATACTTCAGACTTGACTGCATACCAGACAGTCAAAACATCAGACAGGAAACACATGAACTTGGGAAAGGAGGTTCGATATTCAAAGGTCATTCGCATTTCTAGAGAATAATTGCAAACAAGCATCATACTGTCGATGTCTTTTAGTTTTTGTTTTTCATCTTCGAGTCTTTTCTTCAGCATCTCGGCCTCCCGACTAAGTGCTTCTATGGTATCCTGTGGATTATCTACTCGCAAGCCGTCGGTAGCCATTTTCATTTAATTTTCTATGAGGAACTTATTCGATTTTTCCTTGAAAGGCGGATAAACGCGAAGCATTCCGAGAATGCGGAAGTAATCCTTTAGAAAATCGAAGGGGAGATTTTCTTAATGTAAACAAAGTTAATTAAAACGACATGAACGACAATATTCTATGTTATTTATACAAAAATATTATTTAATATGCGTGAAGGTATATATTTATCTTCATTCGTGTGTTTCCAAGGTCTCAGTTGTATAAATCTTATCCCTGATTTAATGAGCTAGTAAATGTAACCCGTTCGTGCTCCATATACAATTTTAAGAGTTTTCAAAGCGATAATAACTAATGCATTAGTTTTTATGTAAAATATACGTCTACACTCCTAAAAACAACAATATACAAGTCTGTTTAGATTTTTAAAACATTTAACTTAGGTTTTAGAATTTCGGAACTCTAGCAAGTCTATATTTTTCTTTACTTCCGGTGTTAGAGCGCACTGGATTTTTTTTTATTTTCGTCATTAAAAAAAATCTGTGATAAGTCTCCACACCTGGTACACATACAACATGTATTTAATAAGAATATATCGACTTTTCTTTAATTGATATATGGGGAAATCGTTTTCTTTTAAAGGCTTCGACACTTTTTAAAGTGTTTTTTTGTTTACCGAAATGAAACAATGCATGCCTTAACTTTTTCTGTATTGCTTGAAAATCATTTAGCGCGTACATCTTTTTATTTATCTAATTAAAGTGAGTCAAATTCACTAGAAATTTTCAAGCTGGTCGAGTACCCAAAATAGAACACTTCATCACACACCCAAACAAATATTGACAAGTTGGAAATGGCCCAGCGAAGGGCAGCGCGGTATGTGCTCAATAAGCACAGGTACAACCATCGTACCTCCAGTGTGTCAGAAATGTTGGGCCACCTAAAGCTGCGCCCTCTAGCACATAGACGTAGAGATGCTCGTCTGACCATACTTCATAACATTGTAAACCAGAAAGTCGCTATCGTAAAATCAGACAGATTAATCCCTACACTGGGTTAGAAAATCCCGAACAAACCACCAGTTTTCGTATCAAATTCCCCACTCAAAAACCCAGACCAGAAAGGCATCATTCTTCCTCGAACTATACCCGAGTGGAATATCCAACCTGACATTATTTCGAGCCCCACAACGGAATTATTCAAATCAGCCCTCTACCGTCACCTTTCAAACGCAAATTAGACAATCTCGTATCTTTTAAAAACAATCTCTTTCCATGTTTCACTCCTCGTCTGACATTTTATCTTCAAATTGTTTAAGTTGGTCAGTACCATTTAGAAGTAGAAGTAGAAGTCAGTTTATGAAAATAACTGACGGTATTTAAAATGATTTTCGTCATTTCAAAAAAGTTTTGACAATTTCTGACAAATTTTAGTCATTTATTCCCTAAAATATATGTTTGATCATATAGTTTCCCATGCTAACAAATATGATAGGATATATATTTTGTCGCAACGTACAGTTTCCCGGGATCTTTTTAAATAAAATCTTTCCATTGATTTTCCGAGCAATGTTTAAAAGGTAGGCTGATGAAATTTGCTAAAACTGCATAAAACTATCAATCTTGATTGAAAATACATATGTACCTTTCATTTTTATTGCAAAATAAAAAATGCTGCATCAGATATATTAAAAGTGTCTCATTTTGGGTACCCTCACCCTAGAACGATATTTTTTTTCAAATTACAAACGAAATTTTAAAGTTGTTTTTGTAAATCTCTCGAAAATATTTTATTTATTGCGTTTTTAGTCAGTAATACAAACCTCACACTGCATATATAATATATATATATATATATATATATATATTATATATATATATAAAAAACCAGAACGCGTATGCGCACGTTCTTGTATGAAGCTATAGGTTGGTGTGATTAAGGATGTACACCTCTGAGAAGTCAAAAATTTCCTGTATTAAACTTTTTTTCTTATATGGATTTTTGGAAAAAGGAGTAAATGGCATAGTAGAAAATGCAAAAAAAAACATATGTCCGTGTGCTCGTTTTTGTGCTATGATCGGTCAAAGATACCAATTTACCACAACATGTGATTTTAGGTGACTTTTGGGGTTTTGAGCATTTGCAGAACAAATTCATACAATTTCTTCCAAGTGTGTTATCAGATATGTATAAATGTTTGTAGAATTGTTGAAAATATTATTTTCTTTTAAAATATAGAAGTAAATTTCTTAATTTTATTGTTTTAACTCCAAAAGCCGATTTTAGTTACCCCTACCCCTACCCCCTAATTTTTAATGAAAAAATACTCATTTTTTACCATTTTTTTACAGATTAAACGGTTGATATAAAAAGTTCTGGTATTTAACTTTTTTTAATATTTAATGATTTAAATGAAAACGTGTTTCTCTTTCAAAAACATCTACAAAAATGGGGGGTCAGTGTGCTTCTTTTTTTGTCCCATTATCATTTGTGTTATTTTTTTCGGGGTCAAAAGTTAAAAGTGCTTCAGTTACACTAAATACGTAAAAAAAATATCAATAATGTATGATCTATTTTTTTGACATATTTTTCAGATGCGTGTTTGCTAATAAACTTGATCATAAGTTGTTAAACATTACAAAAACCCATTACACCAGATCAAAACGAGACTTGAACGTGATTGAAACCTCAGAAGAGTACATCCTTAAACGATGTTCATACAACATTTGATATAGAGTCCTATCTACCTAACATAAGCCACTCTAAAGCACTTTACAGTACATAGATATACAATTAATACAATAAGGATATACAATTTTTGAGGAATTCGCAGGAGCTGCCTTATCAGGTGCTAAATACTTGCCCTATGTCACCTGGCTAATATCTCCCTATGTGTGTATGCCTACGTGTGTGCTGGAGATGTATTGTGTTCTGTTTGTAGTGGGACCGTCAACGGCATCTTTTATAGTGACACTTCATTTGAATGCTACATCACAGATACCGCAACATCCACCCAAGACCATTTTATATTCAAACTGGGTTGTTAGAGTTGTGTGGGCAGGAGAAAAACACTTTCTCTGATATTCCATGCGTGCGACGACTCCGAGGATCGAACCCCGGTCGCCTGCGCGGAAGGCCGAAGTGTTAACTTAACCACTCGACCAATCCGCCCATTTAGAGGGAAAACATATGCACTCAGTTATCGAAAACGAAACCTCCTGGAAGATGTTATACACAACCTGGGACATCACAACCATGGCAGATCCTCTTAAAAGATGCCGCGGAAATAAGACCTAATATAATTGAACATTTGTTTGTTAGTTAGTTTTGTTTTGTTTGGGTTTAACGGCACATCAACGGCTGTGGTCATTTAGGGCCATGGTGATTTATTAATTTATTTAATTTTTAAACAAATATGTGTGAAGCGAAGATAAAATCAGATAAAATGGTTCATTTTCAAAGCATTCGCATTATATGTGTAGATAATAAAAAATAAAAAGGGGGTTAAAATAATAAAAGAAATAATAGTTAGATGATATGGACTATGTGGTATATATAACGTCAAAGAGAGTAAGGTGGGTTAAAAGACATCAGAGTCTATAGAATAGACCGATGTCTTTCAAATAGTTGAATAATGCCTTCGAGTCCACGGAACTGAAAAGAGTTTTCATATCAGGGACTCGAAAGTAGTTATCACGAATGTGTTTTAAATCGGAACATTCTATTAAAAAATGTTCTACTGTAAATGGAGTGTCACATGCGTGGTATGAAGGTGGATCTTCTCGTTTTAAAAGGTACGAATGAGTAGGATATGTGTGCCCAGTACGGAGCCGAGCGAGGACAACTTCCTCTCTACGATCTTTCCGACTTGGAATAAATGTTTTAAATTTCGGTTGTACTTTAAAAAAAATGTTGCTGGTCTCGAGAGACCAACGTTGCTGCCTTTCATTTTGAATGGCTGTACGAATAACAGGTTCGAAATCTGTATATGGTAGTTTGATATTTGTTTGTTAGAGATTTAATGCATTTTTTGCTTTCCTGTCAACAAATTCGTTGCCTTTAATTCCGACATGGCTAGGAATTCATAGGAGAGTTATTTTAGACCTTTTTAAGATACGAGATATTCGAAGAGCAATATTTTGTACGAGTGTGTTTTTAGGATCTCGTAACTGTAAACTCTGTAGGACAAATAGAGAGTCTGAACAAATGATTGCCTTTTTAATGCGGTGTTCATCGATATGGTCGAGGGCCAAACCAATGGCGCATGCTTCGGCAGAAAAGATGGAGGCGCCGTCTGGTAGTCGAACTGAAGTGCAAGAATTAGCAGTACAGCAGGATGATGCAACTTTCTCGCCTTCTTTGGAACCATCGGTGTAAAGTTGTGTATGAGAAGGGTAATTCGAAATGCATTCCCGAAAGGAGGATTTGTGTTCTTCGGGCATAACACCTGATTCCCTCGCTCATGTAATGTAAAGTTAAAATCAGATAATTGTCCACGGAGGAACATCAGATATGTTAAATTCAGCTATGTCAATCAACTTTATGTTGAGTTCTTGCAGGAAATTTGAAATGCGGATACCAAATTTTGGCAGAGGTTTGAGTTTTGCGTAAATATGTTTTGGTATTTTGGGTTGAATACTTGGTCGAAAGCAGGATTTTAGGGTTTGATTTTAACTGAGCTGCAAACTGTAAGGCAACCTTTTTCCTTCTGTCATAAAGGGATGGTTCATTCGCTTCCACAAACAGGCTTTTAACAGGTGTTGTTCGAAAAGCTCATAGGGCTAGACGTAGCTCTTGGTCATGGATTGGGTCTAGCATCTGCAGGTACGAACTGGGCGCCGACCCGTATACCATAGAACCATAATCTAGTTTTGTTCGAATAAGTGATCTGTATAGGCGCGAAAGCATTTCACGGTCCGCTCCCCAATCAGTATGAGAAAGGACTCGTGTAATGTTAAACGCCTTGGAACACTTATCCTTTAATTGAACATCTGAAAAACACCCACAGTTTTTCGGTTTGTCTCTTAAATGTTGGCTCACGCAATGTTGAAAAT